TCAATGTTTAGAGAACTGTCGGAGTAGCAATCGCCATGCCTCGAGTCCTAAATAGTCTAGTATATGTCCTTACTTCCTTCACCCAACTGGGCACATAGGCACTTGCATTTTCGTAGACACATACTCATACCCATACCGTACATACTCATACACATACCTACATACAACACACATACCTACATACAACACACATACAATTCTATACATAACGACATACATACCTTCAAACACAAAGAGATATATACGTGCACTAGATTCATACGCACAGACACAAACAAACTCATGCTGCATACGCCACACAATATATAAACCACGAGGATAAGGGTGTGTGAGGGTCGGACAGTAGAGAGAGAGAGAGGGAGGGAGGGAGGGAGGGAGGGAGGGAGGGGGAAGGGGGTCTGGCCAAGACAGTCGTAACCGAGGTGTGAGGAGGCTGCCAAGGCGACGTGTGTGTGTGTGTGCGTGCGTGTGTGCGCGCACGCGATCAACAGGTGAACGAAGACGAAACCGCGCGGTAATTAACATCGCCAAGGAGGGCCTCGATGCTCTCTCGCACGCGGCGTTTGAGGGACCTATTTAAGGGGAAGGGCTTTTTGGGGGTAGGTCCTTTTTTGTGACTCTGACGGTGGTATTAGGGACCCCTTTCCGGAGTAGGCTTTAGGGTCTCCCTGTCTGGAGGGTGGGGTTGTGGTCCCCTACTCTTCTTGAGTGTTTCGGGGACCGATTTTTGGTCTTTGCGTGGGGAGGTACTTTAAGTGTGGCGAAGCAAGGATGCCTTTGGCTCTGATGGTTGTTGTCTTGCTTCTTTATTTTAGTTTCTTTTTCGTGTGGGATTGTAGGGCTAACTACAACAAAAATGTGGTATTTGCCTAATGTATAGGAATTGCATTGCGTATTATGTGTGAGGGTTGTAGCAGCGGCGTGGACATCGGGCGGGTCGAGTGCAGGTGAATCCGGAGCTGCCGCTGGGTATGTGGGCGTGCGTGCAACCGGGCAACTTGTGAAAATCCGGCCGTAGACACAGGCGGTCGGGAACTTCAAACTGAGGGCGACTTCTGCTGGCTAGACGCGTGGGCGTGGGAGACAGGGTGAGCTTCGAGTAGGCGTCGCGGGTGGCGAGGAATGGTTTTGGGCGTGAGCGGGCGGGCAGACGGGCGGAGCGGCAAGGTGTGGGTGCGTGTAGGCGGTCCCGAGTGGCGACGAGGTGTGGGTGCGGGCGGCGAGGATGGCGAGGTGAAGGGCAAGGCAGCCAGGAGGACGACGGCGACGGTGTGTGTTCCCCGCGGCATTATCGATCCCACTGCGCATGAATGGCGGGGCGACCGCCCTTTGTATCCACTCACTCACTCACTCACTCCGCCGCCACACACTGCCTCCCTCCTCCCTCCTCCCCCTCCTTCTTCCTCTCCTCTCCTTCCTCGCCTCTTCTCTCCTCTCCTTCCCTTAGGATCCTGTCTCGGAGGCTGCCACACCGAAGGGCCGCGCTCGGAGCGTTGTCAGGGCCCTTCCTGGTGCAAGGTCGGTGTGGAGTCATGAGGTAGGTCTGGCTGCGAGGTCAGTCCCCTCGCCTCTCTCTCTCTCTCACTCTCTCTCTCCTCCCTCTCTTCTCTCTCCCCCTTCGCTCCCTCCCCACAAGATGAGCGAGAGCCGCCCTGGTGCCACCGCCGTACGGAAGCGAGTGGCACACGGGCGATGCGCTGTGGAAAGGGTGAAAATGAAATTGATTTAGTGCTCAGGTCGGGGTGGCACCCGCTCCCGCGCCCTCTGCGACTGCGTCAGAATTTGCACTCGAATCCGACGGGGCGCCGTGGCCGCGGCTTAGGATTCCCGGGCTGGTGAGCGGCGAGAGCAGTGCCGACCGTGCCAGCGCCTCCTCGCTGCCGCTGCTTGTCCTCCGATCGCCGCCATGAAAGGTAGACCAGTCGCTGTCAGGGTTCAGTGCCAGGAAGAATGCCAGGGAAGGTGAGGTGTCGGGGAGGGGAGGGGTGGGCCGGCGCCTCGTGTGCCAGGTGTCCCTGCAGCAGCTGACCACAGCGCTCGCCGATGACCGCCTTCTGCTCCTCCCGCGGCCATGGTGTCTGGAAGCCCAGCTGGCTTTCTTCCTGCTCCTCGAGCTGCTAATCGACCACTTCGCCCTCGGCGCCCAGGGGAGGAGGCAGGAGCCGCCGTTGTGTGTGTAGGATATTGTAGCGGGGTTATTGGGTCCGGGGCCTGCTGGGGGAGGGGACGATGCAGGCACTGACGGAGCCACGCCACCGCCGCCGCCGCCGCCTCCCACTGCCACGAACTTCCGGTGGTGCAGGAGAAGCCGAAGAAGGCCCTTCCCTCGAAGGCCTTGGCCCGCAACAAGGCTTCCACGCCGTCGTCGCCGCCTTGAGACGATTTAGCCAATTATGAAAGTGCGGGGATTCGGACGTGTGTCTTACTACGCGCTTTGGGGCCCCCACCGCCTCCCCCGCGCTCTCGCCCCCCGTGCGTACTCTACACACAGCCGCGGCCG